CACGTAGCAACTTGGATAACGGACTGATAAATCGATTGTTGAGAGGCAGAACGCCATTTCAACCAGAAGCACAGGGCCGACAAAAGAGGCTCGCCAGGGCCTGAGCGCGTAGGCATTGACAATAATATCAAGCCAGGAAGACAGAAAAAAAAGAAAAAAAAAAAGGAACAGCATACAAGTTGAATTCATTCAGTTAATCGGGTCAGGTCTAGTCTGGCTTGGAGTGGTCCGCGTGGCGGAGTGGGCAACGCGCGCACAGCACGGCCGCTCGTTTAAAGGTTTTTGGCAATAAGGTATCGGGCTATCAATTCAGCCAAGCGTCAGGTTGCGGCCACGAGGAGGGGCATTTGCGAGGCGAGCAGGGAGACCGATATGGGACGCACCAAGAAGCTCGATGGTTTCAACGCAGACGGCGGGTGTCATGTCTGCTTCGTAGAGACCGACAACAATGTGGTTGGCAGTTGCGTAGGCAATCAGACCGCGGCGACCCTAGCGTGGTGGGAGCTTGAGCTGGTCAGGCAACGTGCTTTGCTTGGCTGAGTCAGCACGAATCGAGGAGGCCCGGGAGGAACAACCTACGTCTCGGGCGTAGACGGCATCGTGATCGGCTCTCAGGCAAAGCCAGTTGCGGCCATCATATACAAGATTGTTCTCGCGCACGTAGCGCGTATCGCGAAAGGCCTCGAGCAAGTGCTTGAGGTCATTTGTGGGCTGTGGGGGCGGGGGAGGAGCCAACCAGCAAATTTGTTCTCAGATTAACAACACGGCCGGGCCTGCATCCCTCGGGGGAATGGTTGGGGACCAAAGGCGAGGGTGAGCCATCCCCCTGACCGTAAATGCCTGCGAGTGGCAATTGATCTTGGCGTCGCGGCGGCGAATGATGGCAGCGGAGTGAACATGAGGGGTCGCGGCCACCAGCTGATCGACCAGCTCCTGCAGCGGCTGCTCCATCTTGTTGTCGCCAAGCGCCAGAAGTAAAATACTACCACCCTCACAGGTATTTAGTAAAATACTTTGAGTGTCTTGTTTTGGCGGGGTCATGATCTTTAGCAGAATTTGGAATGACCCCGAAGATCAAGGTTGTCCGCAGATACATCGATCTGTCATAGTAATCACACTTTAAATATCAAGAAGTGTTTTAATAATCACACTTTTGAAGAGTCCATGACGCTCATGTGGCGCGAGCGGTCGGCGAGCACAAGGGCTGATGATGGTCAGCACCTCTGGCAGCGGCGCTGCGACGGGGTTATCGGCTCGTCTCATGGCGGCGGTTGGTGATTTTGATCACAACGCTGTTTATGGTTGGATCGTGTGATTATGATCGCTGGACGGCGGCCCGATCCAAGGATGGCTCTACCATGGGGTCCTTTGATTTTCATTTGTCCGCCGAGTTATCAGAGTCACGCTACGTGTGTGCCGTAGTTGTCGAGGTTGACGTCAAGTCGATCTTGCTTGACGTTTGCCTTTACGTCAGAGCGAGGATATGATCAGGGATTATAAAGCCCAACCTGGGAGAAGCCGCCGTCCTCCTTTGCCCGACGCTTTGAGGATTCCCGAACGGCTTGAAGAATAACCAGGTGTGCGTGCCTTAGGCCCACGCCCCGAGTCGAGCACAGCCATCGGTTGATACGCACCACCAAGAAATGTTGCGTTGCGAACATTAGACGACAGAGAGAGATGAGAGCGATATGAGAGATGAGAGAGAAGAGATGAGTGAGAGAGAGAGATGAGAGGAGATAGAAGAGAGAGATGAGAGAGAGAGATGAGGGATGACAGATCCAACGTCATGCAAAAAACACACTTCTTTTGTTTGCGTCAGATACATACGTTCCACACAAAACGAGAGAGCGAGAGAGAGAAAAGAACGCAGCACATGTACTCCCCCATAGAGAGTGCCAAAGGTGCACTGACTGCCATTTTCTCTCTCTCTCTCTCTGTTTTGTGTAGAGTTTCTTTTGTATTCTTTTGTTTAACGACCTCGGTCGATCAGCCGACCAAGCACGACTCTCTCTCTCTCTCTCTCGTCTCTCTCTCCTCTCTCTCTGTGTGTGTGTGTGTGTGTGTGTGGCGCTGTCGGTGGAACAAGGGCGGACATACGCATCTCGTTCAAGCGTTGAATCGCCCTCACCGTCGTTGCACAGCCACGTCAACGCGTCATCCATTTTCAAAACCTTGCTCCTCTCGCTGTCCTCTTCCCCGCTGCCGTTGTTGCCGTCCCCGCTTCCGTTGCGCTGTGCCACAATAACCACGCATCCCGGAATTCGGTCGCTCGACCGCTTGGTGACCGCGACACAGACACACGCATCCCCCGGCACGCCGCTCGTATTTGCGCCTTGACTAGGCAGTACCTGCTGCCTCTTCCCAGTCTTCTCGGCCTTCTTTCCAATCGCCGTTTCTCCAATCACTTGGTTGTGTGTAAAGGAAATGGCCACTGCCATTTACATCGCCTAAGCGGCGCCCTCCCTCCTCCTCTCCTGTCGCCACAAACTCGGATCTTTGAATTGTCATGCGTTTGGGCTTGATCACCATCACCCCTGAACTTGGCTGCTGCTGCTTTCGCTGCTGCCACTTCTTGAAACACTTCCACGACACACTTGTCCAACCAGTCCAGGCCCACGTCGGTTAATGCCTCGGCATCGACTGGTTCTGAAACTTTTCTAGTCGTCCTGCGCCCCCCCCCTTCAAATACCAGCGTGTGGTGCTGAGCAGTTGCCCGTCATTTCCTGCTTCTTCTCGCCTGGCGCCCCTATCAACTCGCGAGACCACCGCCATTTGGACGTGAACCTTTTCGTTTTTCAACACACGTAGACACCCCCAACCCTATTTGTCTTTTGGCAACAACTTTTTTTTTTTGGGCCGCGCCAACCCTGGGCAATGGCGACCACAACGTTGGACAGTATATCTCTGAGCTGCGATGACCTCGCTAGCATGCTGACCTCTCAAAGTGCCGTCTGCATCATCGACGTCCGCAGCTTTGATTGCTACGCGCGGCGTCACATTCGCTCTGCCCTTAGCATTCGCTGCTCCAACATTCATCTTCGCCGTCTTAATAAGGGTTTGATGGACTTGGTCGATATTCTCAATGACACAGAAAAGCGCTGGGCCAAACGCAGCCCGGATGACTGGGTTGTTGTCTACGATGACCATGCTTCCTTTCCCGGCGAAACGACTTTTGATGGCAACAACGTCCTGCATGTCGTCCTTCGTGGCCTTCAACAAAAGCACATTAATTGCGCTTTTTTGCACGGTGTGTAGCTCCCTCCCCTTTTCTCGGCCCGTGATTTACCTGTGCATGCGCTCAACCCCATCAGCGTCTAATGGGCGTCTGATGGGCGGGATGGCTCCTTGAGGATGCCTGGCGTCGTGCTTGATACGGGGCCCTGTGTTCTCTCTCCTCTCCTTGTTGTTCTCAACACCCAAACAAAGGAATGAGGCCAATAATGGAAGCACACGGCATCTTTTGTTTGTGCATTTGCGCGATTTGATTTGGGTTCAGGGAAGATGTTAAATCTGGCTTACTGTCCGAGTTGGATCCACTTGTTCCTTTGCTCTCTCCGCTCTCTGCTCGACCCTTGCTTGCTCGACTGCCACATTTTCTTTTCAAGCTTCTTCTCCACACAGAGCCTTATGGCCTTCGATTGCCGTGCACCTTGTCTGTTGCCTCGATTTCTTCTTCCATTGGCCTTTGATGATGATGATTTATAATTTTTTTGTTTCTGTTTCTGGCTTTTCCCGCACGCTTGTTCGCCAACCCCGTCGCCTACCCATTGTTTTGACTCACTGCCCCTCTTGTCTTTGGGAATTGGCGTGCGTTTTGGTTTGCAGGCGGCTTTACGGCGTTTGAGGCTGCGCATGCCGAGCACACGGTGGCTTGTCAGCCAGACGTGTCCTTGGCACATCTGGGCGTGCCCTGCCGTGGTGCCCTATCCCGTGGGCCATTCGGGGGCCCCTGTAGCACCCCCTGCGTCGGTGGTGGTAATGGTAGCGGCGGTAGTGCCACCTTGGCCTCTTCCTTTAGTGCTGTGGCCATGGCCCCCCGGCAACGAACCGCGCCGTCATCTAGCTCCGGCCCGGTCTTAGGCCAGGCGGCGCCCTTGCCGAGCTCTCCAGCTCCCATGCACCATCAGCATCAACGCGTGCACCATCGTCGTAGTGGCAGTGGGGGCCTTGGCTTTGGATTTGCACAGGCTCCTCAATCGCCTGCTCCGTCACAGCTGCACCAACAAGCTCCTGCATACGTAGCACCTCCACCGCCTGGACCCTATAGCGGCGTCTTGGGGCATGGTACGGGTGGCTATTATCATCAACACCATCAGTGCCAGCAGGCTGCTCGTCGCAGCATGCCCATGAGCCAAGTCTTATCCTACCTCTTCTTGGGCTCGGCTGTGGATGCAAGTAATCTGGCTGCCCTCCGTGAGCATCGCATCACTGCCATTCTCAACATTACAACAGACGTGCCCAATACATTTGCGGACAGCCTGCAGTATCAGCAGATCCCCATCCTCGACACGTCAGAACAAAACATTCAAAACTATTTCGAGGTTGCATTTGAGTTTATCAATCAAGCTAAACAGTACGTGCTGCCTGCCTGCCCGCTCCTCGACTCGGCGCGTGGTGTCTTGAGTCTGCTTGACGCACAGCTTGTGCTGCTTGACTGACCACGGGATGTCTGGTCCACTCACTTGTCTGTCTCTTCATAGGGAGGGGCGCAATGTCTTGGTACACTGCCAGGCAGGCATTTCTCGCTCCGCTGCCTTTGTCATTGGCTACCTAATGTACGAGCGCAACATGAACTTGAACGATGCCCACAATTACGTATCGGTCTGCCGATCCATTATTTCCCCCAACTTGGCCTTTATGGGCGAGCTGAAGGAGTACGAGGGCAAGCTGGCTCACGATCGCTCCTCGAAAACGACTCCCACTTGCCCAAACCAAGTGATTCAAGCCGTTCCCACGTGGTGATGCCACGCTTTGCAAAGGCCTTGCCCGTGGTAACAGTCATTTGCGCGCCTGATCTGCCTGGATCCCCGATGTCGATTTATTTGTTTGTGCGCGCACTTCGCTGTCCCTGGCCCACGCCCTGGTTCGGCACGTGTCGGGTTGGAGTTGGCAGGTTGCCTCAAATGTCAGGCAGTGACCCCACAGCCAACCCTTGTTCAGGGGCATCCCACCACCCGTATTTGTGAAACGTCTGTGTGCTCCTTCACCATTGATCATCCGGCCTTGATTTTATGTTTGAATCTTGCGCCCTCAACGCCTTTTGAGTTCTTTTGAGCTCTTTGTGGTTGTGATGTTGATGGATTCTCTGAGAGGAGCCACGCTTTTAGGTCCATGTTTGTGGCAGAAACTCAGTGGGGTGTTGATGTTTATGTGTTCCCCTTGTATGGATGTCTTTTCATATTGGTGAAGGCGCTTCATGTGCCAGCCAATCATACTCTAGACTTTGACTGGTGCAATTCGTGCGCCTGGCCCCCCTCACTTTCTTTCTATTGGCGCTTTAAGGCTGGGATTTGGCCCTGTGCGACCATCCGTGTCCTCCCCTTAATTGACCCCCTCCCTTTGTTTTGGTGTGCTTTGCCATGGCAAACCAGGTTTGCCTTGCAAATGTCAAACAATACGGTTGAATTCGGAGGCTAGAAGCTGCGGCTCGGCCGCTGGAACAAGAGGCAGGCAGGTGTGGTGGCGGCTGTCTAGACATCGCCCTTGCGCATGAAGGAAGTTCCACAGCCGCAGCCCGTCTCTGCTTGCGGATTGTCTGAAGCAAAACCCGCCAGCGTAAGGACCAACATCGTCAAAAGACAGGCGCGCGAGTGCAGGTTCGGGTGAGCGTTAAGATGCATCCACAACGCACCAACGATGGCAAAGGAGGAGCCCACAAGCTCCTTGACGTAGTCTAACTTGGAGCCGCGGATCAGCTCGAGCGAGGTCTAGATGAACGACATCAAAGGCAGGCCGGCAAGGATGAGAGGCTGGGGCCAGGAGGCAGCGAGTCAATGCCACGGGGCAAACAAACCTCGTCCACCACCACTTGGGCGCCATCACGCTCAAAGAGCCTGTGACAACAAAGCCAAGCACGAGGAGGGGCACGAGCATGTGTGAGAGGTTTGACTCGGCGGACCGATGCTCAACAATCAACATTAAACACAACACAGCAGCAAGCAAAGTTTGCTCGGCAAAGGGCGCGCCCATGCGCATGCGGTTAGGCGTACACGTCGTCTTCCTCGAGGGCGTTATCGAAGGAGAGCTTGTAGACAAAGCCAGAGCAGCCACCCGAGGCAATCTCTACGCGCAGGCGCTTTGGTGGGTCGTAGTTCTTGGTCTTGTTGACGTGGTGGATTCGCTGCAATAGGCAAACCACCACTTGGTGAGACTAAAGGTCGCTGGCCGTCAATGACCAGGGCTAGCTGGCGGGGCACGCACCTCGACGCAGGCTGGAGTGATGAGAATGTCGTCATCATCATTCGACCCGGTCGCCTGTGCGGCGGGCATGGCGCGGCCATGGGCCAAGCTGGTGGAGATAGCCCGGTACTTGTGGGCCAGAGGTCCTGCAGTGGACCAGCGGCCAGCAGCAGCAGGTAGAGAGGGCAGGCGCAGCGGTGCACGCCACGCCGTCGTGGCGAGGACTGCCAAACGAGAACGCAACATGATCTGTCTTTATTTTAGACGCCTCGCTGCGGGGTCTAATCAGCAACAGACAAGGCAAAGCAGCCCGTGGCTCTGACCAAATCCAACCAAGTCAATAAATGCAATAATGCAAGCTGCACCCGCACTCAAGCCACCAATTGAGACCTGCCGCTGCCAAATCGAGCGAGCAGAGAGCAGAGAGCACAGAGAGCGAGAGAGAGAAAGAGAGAGAGAGAAAGCAAGAGAACGAAATGAAAGACTTTCTTTGTTTTTCCTCTGACGCACACACTTACAGTGAGAGAGTGTGTGCGTGTGCAGAAGCAGAAGCAATGAAAATGTCAGACGGAATGGTGTCACGATGATGAAACAGTCGCTCAAGCAGTTCAACAGATGGAAGCGAGGAGGGAGGAGAGCCAGGACCGAGGTCAGGAGGCCAAGGTCTGTCAGGGTACAAGGCCAAACTGCTGCTGCAGCGTCTTGACGTGCGTGCCTTACTGAACCGGGGTCGGCGCCAGTGGCAGGTTTCTTCTTCGGACCCGAACGCCACTCGTCCAATGTCAGACTTTTATCAACGTCACACGATACAGTTGGTAGCGTTTGCCTGCGAAACAGAAAGCGTAGCGTGCATGTGTGTGTGTGTGGTAGCTTGTCGTGTTAAGTGTGATACTTCACCGCTTCATGTGTGGGGATTTTACGTATTAAGGCTATGCTATTCTCTTTTGTGTGTGCTCGTTTCCACGCACAGGTAGAGTTGTTTCACCTCTCACGTGTGTCCCTGGGTTTTTAAAATTTTAATTTTCAAGTGTGGTGTTTGAAGAACCAAAGGGCAGCGCCCCTGTGCCCCTTTGCCAGTGCCCTGACGCCCAACGGTCGTGTCAACTCGGCTTTGGCGGTGAATAGGGCAGTGTCGTCGTGGTCGACACCCCCTTGGGCGTCAAACGTGTTTGACTTCTCAAACGAGCATCCTGTGCCTCCGTCCGCTCACTGCTTTCAAGACGTCTGTGTGGGCCCCTGACGCTCAAGCTCAAGCGGATTACGTACCGGGTCCCCCCCACTGCTTGTGGTAGTTCGCACGTCGCACGTCGCACGTCGCGAGCTGCCTTGGGCCAGTGACTGCTCCAGTGCGCACGCTGGGTTTGTGTGCATTTCTTGAAATCTGGCCTTTGATACACGGCTGGCGTTAGACTGCGCTCCTTTGATTTGAGCGTTGCCGCGTTGGCTCGTTCGAGGCACGATTGACGTCGTCCGCCAGCGCACATGGGCAACGCATGGTTGTGTGACAAGCGTCACCCCACCTTTTGAACTTGACGGCGACGTGCGTGTTTGACACGGCGGTCACCAGCTTCATGGCGGAGAGTCTCTTCTCAAGCCCAACTGGATCGCCGCGCCGCCCGACCTCGCACGCGCATGCCATCTCAGCACAGCCCCCCAAGAGCGTGGGCAGCCCTTTATCCGCTGAGACGCGGCGCCATGACGATGCCGATGAGCTCGTCAACACGAGCAGCAGTGAGGAGGTGTTCTACACGCCTAGAGCCGAGCTTTTCACAACGCACAGTGCTGGCAAATCGGCTCGCTCAATGCGGCACCGCTCAAGCCACTCGCCCAGCATCAACTCCAACTCGTACTCGCTGGTCAGCCCCACCTCGTTCCTTTTGCGTGGCCCCCGCTTACTTGCATCATCTGGCCATACTAACCATTTCATGCCCCCACATGACCTTGCTTTCCCGGCCACCTACGACTTGTCTCCCCGCAACATCCGTAGCGAGCTCGAGCATCGCGACATTATCAAGACGATTTGAACAACGCCAATGTGGTGGGCGAAGCCCCGGCTCTCTCCCCGGCTCTCTCCCCGGCCCGCGCCCTCCATACCCATCTTGAGCGCGAACTTGCCAACTTGGAAGAGGTACGCTCAGCGATATTTCCGTCGCGCATCGTTCCACATCTTCGTACGACACAACAGCCTGCGCGTCACTCAAAGCCCTCATCACCCCATTGGCTCATTTGGAGTAGAAGTTGCAACAAAGTCAGCACATGGAACAGCGATATGCCACACTGTATGAGGATTTGCGAAATGAAAAGAGCAATGACGACAAAGTCGGTTTCTTGTTGCCCACATGGCACGATGCCTTCTTGCTGGCATCCAAAACTCACCCGGCTTTCTACACCAGTACATTCTGGAACTCTGCGAGATGAACAAAACTCTTGAAACCGAAGTCAAGCTTTTGCGCAGAGAGGTTCGTCGCACCCACCCAGACACGGCCTCGTCTACCATGCTCGTGAGGCACACTATTCTTTCTTGCTCATGTGTCTGAATCGCTTCGACACATCGGTGATCTCACGTTTCCGACCAAACCTATGCCCAGGTTACATCCTTGCGGGAAAAGCAAAGCGCCCTTGAGCTGCGCGAGGCTGAAGTTCGTCAGAACGCTGCCACTGCGGAAGAAATGACCATCAAACAAATTCAGCGCCGTAAGTCCCCACCTTCGCGCGCATGACCTGCGTTGGGCCCCAAATCCATACTCGCGGGCAGCATGATCGCCTTGTTGAATTTCAGCATCACGCTTGTCTTACACTGCTCCATTCGAGGCAGGCCTTCCAAGTTTACCAAGCAGCTCCAAGATCTGGACCAGGGCTGAGCTCTTGGATCATATCGACCAACTCACCATTGACTTGAATGATTGTCAAGCCCATAACCAAGCGCTCTGTGAGCAGTTTGAAGCCGACATGCATGAACTGATCTTGCAAAACAGTCAAATGCTGGACGAGCGCGATGGTCTTGTGTTCAAAATCAGTCAATTGCAGGTGAGCTGCACATCAGCTGCCTCCGGCGTCTGAATGTTGGGAAACAGGTCCTCTGGCGCTAGATCCAGCCGTAGTCCCTGCATCATTTTCATGCGCGTGCGTGTGTTCGTCGTCTCACACCTCACCTCTCTGTCGACATGCAGGAATTTGAAACGGCTTGCTATGAGCTGCAGGCTCAACTCGACGACAAAGCCGCACAGCTGGTGAAAGCGGACTGTGATCGAGTTGCTTTGGAAGAGGAGCTTGAGATCCTTGCAGATCAGCAACAACATCATCCAAGCTTAGCCGAATGCACCTCTGAATCGCTTGAGGCCAGCCCAAGGTCTCCTGCAACAGCCGTGGCGTCTGTTTTTGACCACCAGTGCTCTCTGGCTGACGAGCTTAGTATAAATCTCATCAGTCCTGCGCCTTTCTGTCTTCAAGACGTCGGCTGTCAGACAGACGATGAGTTGTTACTCGCGGCATTGCAAGATTGCACCCAGTACGGGTTGAGGGTCCAGCCATCATTGCCCCAGTTTGAGGCAGCTACTCAAGCTGGGAGCACCATTTCACAGATGGAGGCTGGTGTGCAGGCCGAGCACCATGTGGAGCAGGTTCATGCTGGTGTGCAGCACCATGTGGAGCAGACCCATGCTTCTGTGCAGCACCATGTGGAGCAGGTTCATGCTGGTGTGCAGGCCGAGCACCATGTGGAGCAGGTTCATGCTGGTGTGCAGCACCATGTGGAGCAGGTTCATGCTGGTGTGCAGGCCGAGCACCATGTGGAGCAGGTTCATGCTGGTGTGCAGCACCATGTGGAGCAGGCCCATGCTTCTGTGCAGGCCGAGCACCATGTGGAGCAGGTTCATGCTGGTGTGCAGCACCATGCGGAGCAGGCTCATGCTTCTGTGCAGGCCGAGCACCGTGTGGAGCAGGTTCATGCTGGTGTGCAGGCCGAGCACCATGTGGAGCAGGTTCATGCTGGTGTGCAGCACCATGTGGAGCAGGCCCATGCCTCTGTGCAGGCCGAGCACCGTGTGGAGCAGGTTCATGCTGGTGTGCAGGTCGAGCACCATGTGGAGCAGGTTCATGCTGGTGTGCAGCACCATGTGGAGCAGGTTCATGCTTGTGCAGGCCGAGCACCATGTGGAGCAGGTTCATGCTGGTGTGCAGCACCATGTGGAGCAGGCCCATGCTTCTGTGCAGGCCGAGCACCATGTGGAGCAGGTTCATGCTGGTGTGCAGGCCGAGCACCATGTGGAGCAGGTTCATGCTGGTGTGCAGCACCATGTGGAGCAGGCTCATGCTTCTGTGCAGGCCGAGCACCGTGTGGAGCAGGTTCATGCTGGTGTGCAGGCCGAGCACCATGTGGAGCAGGTTCATGCTGGTGTGCAGCACCATGTGGAGCAGGCCCATGCTTCTGTGCAGGCCGAGCACCATGTGGAGCAGGTTCATGCTGGTGTGCAGCACCATGTGGAGCAGGCCCATGCTTCTGTGCAGGCCGAGCACCGTGTGGAGCAGGCCCATGCCTCTGTGCGACACTGTGAGGAGCAATCACATGCATTGACGGGAGCCGATCAACTTGTTGAACTTAAGCCCTCGACGCAGGAGCGTTCAGATCCTTTGTCAGCTGAGATGTCAAAGCCTTTGCGTCAGCCGGTGCAATCACAGCCGGCGTCATCGTTTGCAGGCGCATGGTCTCACCAAGTGGCCAGTGCCAGCTTTGATCGCACATGGGTTTTATGGGTTGCAGCGAGCGTCGCTTTGGGGTCGCTGGCCAAAAGTGTGTAGAATGCTATTGCCGCCAAAGGCCTTTTCTTCTATGATACTGCAGGACGTACCCATAAACGGACGCATTTGGAAGCTCTAGCGATGTACACATTCGTTGGGCTCTCCGACTCTCTGAACTGAATTTATGATTAGCTTTCTTGCTTCAGAACCAGCTGGGCATTGTAATGTGAAGTGGCGCCTCAAGCAAGCGCAGCGGTGATGGCTCATGCGTGTGAAATTGTGGTTCTCCAAAAACACATGAAATCAACAAAGCAGGGAGAGCGAGAACGGTGAGGAGAAACAGACAAGATGAAGCAACAAGACAACGATTCGAAAAGAAAAAGAGAAGGAAACAAAGTCAAACATTCTACAACAGGAAAGAAGGGCCAAGTGACCCTCTGCCGAGACAAAATCAGGGCATTCCGTATTTATCGGGGAGCACGTCGTGGTGCAAACAAGCCTGCTCAGGCCCACGACGGGTTGAACGGCTTCATGTCATCATCGCTGTCGTAAAAGTCGTGTTTGGCATCACTAAAAAAGAAAGAGGGAAGAAAGCTCATGTCAGTCACTTTCGCAGTCAGTGTGGAGCAGGAGCAATTTGCTGGAAAAAGAGACACACCTGACGAGAGAACGAATGAGACTCTTGCGTTGGGTGCACGTCAAATAGAAAAGTCCTGCCAGGAACACAAGGAAGAAGGCCCAGTTGGCCCAGTAGTAGATCAAGCCTAAAATTGTGAAAACACGAAGCCATCCATGAGCTGGTGCAACCCAAGCAAAGGCAGAAAATAAAAGCTCGCTTGGAAACAGCTCTGACACACCAAAGAACCACAGGTTGTAGAAGAAAGCGTGCAGCAGAGCCGCGATACGCGTTGAGACACACGCCGGTTCACGGCGACAAGACTGCCATGGAGAAGCAGGACCAGCCAAGTGTCAGGTGAGGCTGCGTCTTGAGCACGCTGTTGCATCCCGGCTGAACGCGACACAACATGCGCAACGGACTGTAATGTTGCTCAAAAGCTCTTGGGGGTAAAGCGTCAGCTCTTTAATGGCTGTCATGTTGCATGTGTCCTTCTTCTCGTCGTAAATGTCTAAGAAGCAAATCAGGATGAGGAGAGCAACCCGAGGCGTTGAGCTCGCGGCGTTCCCGCATCGCACCAATGTTAAATTGAATCGTGTCTGTCGCGTTCTCAGCCGTGTAGACATAAAGGGGCGCCTGCGACAGCCCAGATGTGAGGACTGCGGGTCACGGACTGGCCATAAAACCTGCACAGTTAATTAAGCAACCCAACTTGGCGTAAAAGACAGACCTTGGAGCTGCATTGGGATGGATGAGACGGGTACAACTGGTAAGAACCAGTGACGTTGGCCTAGAGCGCAAGAAAATGCATGAGCACAAATCGTTCACCCGATCGAGCCGAAACGAATGGCCAGCTGCTGAAGTGTTCCGTACGTCTTTGGGGAATGATGAATACATTTGGTTGCCGTAGGTGACGTATTGTGGGGCAAGGGTCAAGAATACAACATTCAAGAATAGCAGCGTAAACATGACGATCGTGCACCTAGTGACGAGTGCACCAGTGGTGTGATTAAGATGGCATGCAAATGTCATCATGCAAGACACACGAGTCAAGAGTGGACCACCGAATCATGCCAGCTCAAGTGCCGCGCAAGGGCTTACATGAACAAAAGAGCCTGGGGCACAGTGCGCCGGGCTTTGATATCATAAACCTGAGCATGAAAAATGATCGTTAAAATGCCATGACCAGCGTATAATTGCGATTCTTTCAAAGACAAGCGGGGCTGTGCGGTTTCGATACACTGTATAACTAGGATGACGCACCTTCATGCCGCAGAAACGGACGCCGAGGTGTTTGATGCCAGACATGGTGGTCAAAAGGAAAAAGTAAATCACGAGGGACAACAAAACGTAATCCACTGGGAATGCCTGCGGGAAGAACCAAGGAGAAAAGAGCAAGAGCAAAAGTGAACGATTGATTGATTGAATGAGGCAGGTCGCGCCACCTGATTGTTGCTATTAGCGACAGGATTGTGATGCTGCGAGCACGGGGGTCGACGGACCTTTTGAAACGTGGTCATGGCCAAATCCACGGGGTTGATCAGCTTGGGGGCGGCATGGGTATAGCCAGTCTTCCAGTTAAGATGCTGCTGGGTAATTTGCAGCAGCTTATCACCCGCCGTCATGGTCAAGCAAAGGACCAGAAACAGGCTCAGGAGGAAGAAGACGATGCCAAAGATGAACTATTCGATCGACATGCCACGATGAAGATGATGAAGATGATATGTCAAAAGGATGGATCATTTAAAAAAGAAAAAAGAAAACCATCTCGGGCAGAATGACGTTTAACACAGCCGCGGCTGACCTGGAAGGGGCGTAGGCATTGACCGACACGACCGCAAAATCCGCGCTCAATCTGATCCGCCTTTGCAGTTGCTCGGCTCAATACACTGGAAGAAGAGAACAGCAGAGAAGCAATGAACCAAGCCGGGGGGGGGGGGGGGGGATGAACAATTAGGTGCAGGACAAAGTGCAGAAGAATCACGGCTGATCGTCGCAAGAAAAAGCAAATGGGAGCGGGATGAGCCGAGCCGAGTCGGGAACACTCACCGGTGTTCGTGCTCCATCTTCTCGAGAGTCCGGCGGTCACGAGCAGACATGGATTTGCCCTTTTTGTTTCCACTGCGGTACTTGTTGCGAATTTCCTGCCGATCGACAGTATGAGGGAGGCGCAGAGCTGCAAAAGTTTACAACTGTTGGCAACACTCAAACATACGTCTTGCTTCTCTTCATTGATGCGCAGCTGGTCATCAGCTTGAGCACGATCCTCCTGAACGGCGCGCAGCGCTTTGTAATGAGTCTTGCAAACACGCGGCAAGAAAAACGGGCATGCTGGTGTTATTTGAGTTGAGTAGACAGCGGTCAAGCTTACCGAGTTGTTGCTGCGACTGCGGATCATATCGATAGGCATGGCCACCATGCCCCAGGCCTAGAGGAAATAGCAGCCCACAATATGCAACAAAAAATGAGTGCAGCTGCCTGAACGGTTCATCGAGGCGCGTGAATGAGGGGCAAAGAAGGCCAAACGGACCGTGTAGTATACGTAGTAGCCAACACCGATGGTGGTCAAAAGGCCAATGGCGAACGAAATGGCGTTATTGCCACCTGGTACAGACAGAACCCAGGATGAGGGCCGAAAGCAATGAAGAGATTAAATGAGGATCGAATCCGGGTCCAATTTGAAACGAGTCGGCGCTTCAAATGCAGGCCAGGCCTCCTACCGTTGCTTGTCAATGACTTTTCGGCATACTCAGCGCGACACTTGGACGCATCCTCGGCAGCCTTGGCCTGAAACATGTGGGCGCTAAATGAGCACGAGCAGAGCCAGGTCGGTCGAGCAGACGTGATAGTCGCGCCGGTCGACAAGGCACGGCACAGACTAAGGTGCCGCCGCGAGGGGGGCGAAGACACGCACGAAGACGGCCACCCACCGAATTGATATCGTCCGAGCAATTGGTGCCATCCGTGTTAATGGCAAAGGCACCGACTACCATAATGATGGCAAAGACAATCAAGATACCGAGGGTATACTTGATAGCCGAGGAGAAACGCTACACAATGGGCAGGACCCAACCAGACGAGTTGACAGACAGGGCGTTTGTGAACAAGCCCAGTGATTGTGTGTCATGAAGATGGCAAGTGTCGGAGCAGAGGTGGGAAGCCAAAATGACAAACCTTCATGCAGGAAGTGCCCTCGACCTCGTCCTTGGCTTCAAAGAAGAAGTAGGCCATCGGGATGATGCAAAAAACGAAGGCACAGACCAGGGCATAGACGGCTACTCACATGTCGTCAGGTGCGAAGAAGGCCATAAAGCCAAGCATTAACGGGACATGAGATGTACACAGACACAGACACACATACACACACATACGCAAGGCGAGGATGGTATTTCTTCCGCAGAGACCAGCAGGGCGACAAGGGAGGGGGAGCTGGCGTACTGTAGTAGGCAAAGCGCACAGTGTCGGTGACATCTTCATAGTGATCAAAGGCCCAGTCCTGTAGATCGATGGTATGGTCAAGGGGAAACCGTGCAGTACCGAAATGTCAGGTCATAGCACGTGGCCTGGGCAAATGGGTTGCTTGTGAAGGGATTACATACGTGAAAGCCACCGTTGCTACCCTTGAAGGACGAAACGAGGTAGATGTCGACAGGGACCAGGGCACAGGTCAAGAGAGACACAACAATGGCCATGATGGCCACGATGGTTGAACCTGCAATCAGCCAGATCCGTGGTCAGGCACACGACCACGCCACGCAAGGTTTGATGGAGGATGCGAGACACACCCAGTTCTTTCTCGCGTTTGTGTTGGTAAAAGCCGACAAAGGACCAGGCAAAGATGATGGAGACACCGACGAAGGCGACAAAGGGAATCCAGCCACCGGCAATGATGCCCTAGAGCAAAGCCAAAGCCATGATGGGCCACGGGTCATCACGGGTTGCATGAATGTCTACTTGCACAGAATCGCAAAGCATCTTTCACCGCTGTGGCGCTGTATACCTTTTTCAGCTCGGCAATGTCACGCTTGATCTCCGGCTGAGTCGTGGTGGTGGAAGTGCTCATCGTCGTGGTCATGTTTCCCGTCTCAGTGGGCACGGGCGAGGTGGAAGAACTTGTTTTGGGAGACACTGGAGTGGTTGTCGTCGTGTTAGGCTGGGTGGTCGGCGCCGCAGTGCTGATGGTTGTCGGCACCACGACGGTCGTCGTAGCGTTGGCTGCGCTGCTAACTGCCACAGCCACGGCCAGCAGCTTGCAATGCAAAAGGATATCAAACCAGTCGAGGGAAAGCGTGGGAGGTGAGTGAGGTTCGAACCGAGCTCAAAGATCCATCGAGCACACGCGGCGAGCTCGGATTTGAAAAAAAAAAAAAAAAAAAAAAAAAAAACAGCATTAAAAGGGACGGGCACATACCAAAGCTGCCAGGCAGCCAGCGCCAGAGCGCAACGTCAAACGCGCCATTGCAAGAGGCCTCTCAAGCAGACAGGCACAGATCTACACGCTCTACCACAAGACACACCAGCGTCAGAACGAGCAGAAGATCGTGCCGATCCCAAGCCGCCAAAAGACCGCAGAGAGAGAGAGAGAGAGAGAGAGAGTGTGTGTGTGTGTGTGTCATGAGAGCCAGGAGAGTCAGAGTCATGAGAGAGAGAAACAGAGAGGCAGAGCGCGCGCGTCACGAGAGAGAGGCAGAGCGCGCGCGTCACGAGAGAGAGACAGAGCGCGCGCGTCACGAGAGAGAGAGAGAGAGTCATGAGAGAGGAGAGAGCCGAACGTACTTGTGCAGGAAAATTGCGTGTGGCGTCAAAAAAAAAAAAGATCTCTCACTGTTTGTTGTGTGTGTGTGTGTGTGTGTGTGTGTGTGTGTGTGTGTGTGTGTGTGTGTGTGTGTGTGTGTGTGTGTGTGTGTGTGTGTGTCTGT